CTGTGTACAACTTGGCTAATTTCTCCAAAGAGTAACTCATATTCACCGGTAAGAAATGTGCAGATTTAGTAAGCCTATCCACTATCACCCAAACCGCATCATGTCCCCTTTGACTTCTAGGTAAACCCGTCACAAAATCCATGGTAATATGCTCCCATTTCCACTCAGGGATTTCTAAAGGTTGTAACAAACCAGAAGGCTTTTGATGTTCTGCCTTAACCTGCTGACACACTAGGCAAGTCTGTACAAATTTCGCCACATCCCTTTTTAAGCCATCCCACCAATAAAGCCCTTTCACATCCTGATACATCTTGTTAACTCCAGGGTGAATAGTATACTTGGACCGATGTGACTCCTCTAGAATTTCTCTTTTCAAACTTTCTTCACTAGGTACTACTATTCGATCCCTAAATCTCAAAATGCCTTCAGGTCCTAGCTTAAAATCTAGGGTTTCCCCCCTTCTCACTTTCTCCAAATAACCTTGTACTACCGGATCCTTCCCTTGAGTCTCCTTAATTCTTTCTAACAAAGGGGATTTTAAGGATAGATTTCCAAACAAGATTTTCAACTTTTCTAAACGAGGATTCCAACCACTAGCTTCTTCTAACATATCCCATTCTCTCACCATTAGACCCGCTACTTGAGCCCTTCTACTTAGTGCATCTGCAACCACATTTGCTTTCCCAGGGTGATAATTGATTGAACAATCATAATCCTCAAGAAATTCTACCCAACGCCTCTGTCGCAAGTTCAACTCCTTTTGTGAAAACAAGTACTTAAGGCTCTTATGGTCGGTGAATACCTCAAATGTCACCCCATACAAGTAATGTCTCCACTTCTTCAAAGCAAAAATAACAGCGGCTAACTCTAGGTCATGGGTCGGGTAATTCATCTCATGGGGTTTCAATTTCCTAGAAGCATAGGCCACAACTTTTCCCTTTTGCATTAAAACACAGCCTAACCCTTCTTTAGAAGCATCGGAATATACTACATACCCATCAACTCCCTCAGGTAGGGCTAACACTGGAGCCGTAGTCAATCGCCTCTTCAATTCTTGAAAGCTCGCTTCACATTTAGGGCTCCAAATGAACTTATGGTTTTTCTTAGTTAACTCCGTCATTGGCCCAGCAATTTTTGAGAAATCTTTTATAAAACGACGGTAATAACCCGCCAATCCCAAGAAACTTCTAATTTCAGTTGGATTCTCTGGTTGTTTCCACAAAGTAACTGCCTCCACTTTAGTTGGATCTACTGCAATTCCATTCTTAGAAATTCTATGACCCAGAAAAGAAATTTCTTCCAACCAAAATTCACACTTACTGAACTTAGCGTAAAGCTTGTGTTCTCTCAACACTTGTAAAACTATCTCCAAGTGCTTGGCGTGATCCTCTCGGGTCTTAGAATATACTAGAATATCATCTATGAATACCACCACAAATTGGTCCAGATATTTCTTAAAGATTCTCTGCATTAGATCCATGAAAGCAGCTGGGGCATTGGTTAACCCAAAAGGCATTACCGCAAACTCAAAGTGCCCATATCGAGAATTAAAAGCAGTCTTAGGTATATCTTCCTTTTTAATCCTCAATTGATAGTACCCTTGTCTCAAATCTAACTTAGAGTACACCACCGATCCTTGCAATTGGTCAAATAATCCATCAATCAAGGGCAAAGGGTACTTATTCTTAATAGTCACCTCATTCAAACCTCGATAGTCAATGCACAATCTCAAACTCCCGTCCTTTTTCTTTACAAACAAAACTGGAGCTCCCCACGGTGAGTCACTTTCCTTAATAAAACCTCTTTCTAGTAGGTCCTGCAACTGGATCTTTAGTTCTTTCAACTCCGCAGGAGCCATTCTATAAGGAGTTTTTGAAATTGGGGCTACTCCTGGAACCAAATCAATCTTAAACTCTATCTCCCTTTCAGGTGGCAGAGATGTTAATTCTTCCGGGAAGACATCGGGAAAATCTTGCACGATTGGTACATCTTCTAATTTCACTTGATCACTAGGGGCGTTAATTAAGAAAGCTAAGAAACCCTGGGCTCCCTTGTGAAGCATTTTCCTAGCTCGAATCCCTGAAATCAAAGCAGACGAAGCTAATCTACCCCTTACATCTAGCTTGAGAGTTGCCTCACCTGGGATGCAAAATTCCACCACTTTAGCTCTACAATCTAGCTTAGCATGGTGGTAAGACAAAAAGTCCATTCCTATAATCACATCATACCCCTTAAGGTCCAAACTCACCAAGTCAACTAGCATTTTTCGCTCCCCAACCCAAAATTCACACTCCTTATACACTAAACTAGTGAGCATGCTCTTATTACCCGTAGGAGTCCTAACTTCCAAATCATAGGGTAATCGTACAGGTTTTACATCAATTCCACACATAAAAGCAGGATTAACAAACGAATGAGTCGCACCGGGATCAATTAAAACCTTAGCTAATCGATGAAAGATTGGAAGTGTACCTTCGACTACCTCCGAAGGGTCAGGTGCAGGTTGACTATCTAGGGCATAAACCCTGGCCGGGACCTTTGGCCGACTCCCTCCAGAAGCAGTTTGCCTAGAACTTGTGGCACCTCCTTGGCTTCCCCCATTCTCGGAAATCCTAGGACAATTAGCAATTTGGTGCTCAGCACTTCCACACTTGAGGCACTTGCCATCCTTTCTCCAGCACTCATTTGCAGTATGATTGGCTTTTCCACAGTAACCACAGGTTATCTGAGGGGTTGACACTTGTACACCTTGTGGAGCACTCCTAGGGGGTCCCCTTCCACTTTGACCTCCTCTCACTCCAGATCCTCTCGCCCCAGGGCCTCTAGCTCCAGCACCCCTTGCTAAAGCACCTCTCGATGCACTAGGGATATTCACTACTCCAGTTCCTCTACCCATCTTAGGCGGTGGGGCACTTGTAGAAATTGGGTCCCTGCTACCACTAGGGGCATTCCTTTTCCTAGCAAAGAATGACCTAGATTGGGCTCTAGCCGTCTCAAACCTCTGAGCTTTCTCTACGGCATCACTATACGTGTTAATTTGAGCAGTGGCTAGCCCCTCTTGAATCTCCACATTGAGCCCTTGCACAAATCTCCTAATGCGTCTCTGCTCAGTGGCTATCAGGTCAGGGGCATATCGGGCTAATTTAGTAAAGTTGGTTTCATACTCTGCTACACTCATGGCCCCTTGTTTGCACTTAATAAAGTCATCCTCCCTTTTCTCTTGGACTAGAGGTGGAAGAAATTTGGCATTAAACTCACGGGTGAAGTTTGCCCAAGTACTAGGGGTACGGTCTCTATCCCACTTATCCTTAATTAGATTCCACCAAGACCGTGCAGCTCCTTCAAATTGAAATGACGCAAAAGTCACTTTCCGCGTCTCAGTGTAATCCAATGTGGCAAAAATATCAGATATTCTCTCCCACCATCCCTCAGCTATTTCAGGCTCTGGCCCACCTTGAAACTTAGGCGGCCCAAACTTTAGGAACCTCTCCAAGGCCCTATCTTCAGTATCTAACTGCCCACCAGGTTGTTGATGCACTGGTCCAGGACCTTGACGGTCCGTCAAACGTTCTAGCACTTCGGTTATCCTATTAATAGCGGTGGCCATTTGATCTCCGCCCCCGCCCTCGGGTCCCCGATTTTGGTTCACTTTCGACGCTCTATCGCCCCCTTGATTACGAAGGGGTTCAGCCCGTCTCCCTCGACCTCGACCTCGACTTCGGCGTTGACCTCTACCACGGGGATCCATACCTAGTTATGCCTAATGCAAAGCAAGAAGTAAGTATACAGAAATTTACACAAAGTTTAAAGAGCAACGCAGGAAAATTGCATAAAACTGAGGAACAAAGCAGAAAATTATGCCAAATGAAGATCAACTTAAGGGCGATAAAAATAACCACAACTAACACATATATTAACATTCGAAATTCCTACAATTAGCATTTCGTTGGGATTTTACAAAAATATAGCACAAAGGTGCTACAAGGTGCAACCAGTCATTCATAATCAAAAGAAGTGCAATCACCACAAAAGCAAGCCATACAGTTACAAAAATACAATGGTCCAAGAGTTAGCACCATCCCAACCAATGTTTACAAATTACAAGTCAAAAGAGAGTCTAACTAAGCCTAGTCCTCAGCGGGACCATCAGATGGATTCCCCTCATCAGGATCCTCTTCTGGATCCTCCTCCGGGTCCTCCTCTGGATCCTCCTCAGCACTAGGAGCTACCTCTGAGGCCTCGTCCATCACCTCATCCACCAGCATGGTAGCATCCGCTAGTATCCCAAAAGCTCGCTCACGAACCATGTCTCTCATCCTAGCCACGCTATCCCTTGCTCTCTGCAGCTCCTCACGGTCTGCCTCAGCCCTAGCTCTCTCTTCTATCACCCTTCCAATCAGCTCTGCTACCCTATTCTACAGATTAGCCACCATGGCACCCAACTCGTCCACGTCCTGAATCAGGGCTATGTTGGAATTCACCAACTGGCGACGTTCATCGTCTATAGCCAGAACCAAGCGGTTGGGGTAAGAGAAGGTCAACCTACAGTCACACCTAGGAACCCTGGTGTCGGGCGAGTACTGACCCCGAGCTCCACCACCCTGAACTTGGTAAAATATAGGCCTAAGAGGCGGCACGTGACCATTCATGTGCCCGTTACCATTAGCAGCATGACCGTTCCCATTAGGGTTCTCTATACCTACAAAACAGCCAAAACTTTCAAAGTTAAACCTTAGCACCATTAACTTGATCAATTATCACTTAAAATATATCTAAGTATCTCATTCCTATTTCTAGGAATAAAATACCTAACAATTCTCCCAAATACGTTCAAACCTAATGCTCTGATACCACCTGTGGCGGCCCCACCTCCCCCTAAGGCGAACCAGAGGGTTCGGCGAGTCGCCTGCCCAACTCTCGCCGGGACTCACTCATTCAATCATCTAACATCATCAAATATAATTCGTAAATAAACTTTACTTCTCGCATAAGCCAAGTACTTAAACAAACCGTACCATTCAACTTACTCATCCAAAAGTACAATTTCAAGCATCAAAGAAAATGTCTAACTTAAAATACTTAAATTCAACTTAATTTACAATTTAAAATTCCTAATCCAGGGCACAGAAGCACCACAGGATTCACATTTTCCCAAATACACAAAAGTCATCCAAAAGATACTAAAGTTTTCCCTAAGTATATATACAAAAGTGGGCATTCAAAATATAACATTTCTTTTCTAGTTCTCCAAGACTTCATGCAACTCAGAACCTGTCAAGGAAAACAAATTGGAAGGGATGAGCCAATAACTCAGTGGTGCCTCGAAACATGCAATTCACATAGGGCAATTTAACAAGTACAAATGGACAAGTAAGCAATTAATAATTTAGGAAATCGAAGTAACATGACAAGAAAAGGATACGGGGCTCTCAGGTGCCAAAGTCCACGCGCTTGATCAGGAAATTTTTAGTAGTTGACACTCCGTCAACTTTCACTACCTAACCTCCATGTAGAATATTTCCTACTTTACTTGTCTCCTAGCAACGACTTCCCCCTTATTTTCGGGCCCGACTCCAACACGAATTTTTGCGAGAACTTTTACCAAGACGGCAGAGAGGTACCTCCCACTCTAATAGAGCGTGGTACGTGCATCCGTTTGGTTTATTTAGTCGACGAGACCACGCTCCAATCGACATTGCAACACTTGTACTTGTGGTATTTCACGCAATCACATAGCATATAACATTTCATGATATCTCTAGCAAGTATTTTTAACAAGTAGTTCAACTAGCAGTTAAACACGATTCATGCAAGAGACACTCACCTCAAGTGAAGAGTCTAGAATTGCAAACTTTGATCGAGATTGTGCTCTTCACCAACTCCTAAAATCATACAAATATTTCACATAAATTTCCACTTTTGAGTTGGTGAATTTAACTCGAGTCAACTAGCATTTAATTACACTCAAAAATCCCAAACTAGTATTAATCGTTTTCTCAAAGTGAAATCCACAAATTTCGAGTGAAATTAAATTTTGAGGTTTTTTTAAAACCAAAAACTTGCTAAATTCGTCAAATATTTCAATAACCAAGTTCTAGAGTCATATAAGCTATTAACACCACTTTGGTGTCACTGGTTGAGAAAAATCATATTTACCCATTTAGAGGAATTTTCCCCGTCTAATTTTCCCCTTCTAATTTTCCCCAAAAATATCTTGGGAAATTCCTTTAAGAGGAAATCATATAAACCAAGTAAAACTAGTCGTTGGAATTTCTATAAAATAGAAACTCCTTAAGTTTGCCAAATTCCATTGACCAACTTGGTTCAAGGATTTTCATGAAGGCAAAACTTGAGTTTTCAAGAAAATTTCCAAATTTGGCATATTTCTCGAAATAGGACATTTGGTCTAATAAAATTCAAGGTTATTGACTCGAAGTGGACCTAGTAACAAAGGTTAATGCTAGAAAACATTTTCGGGATAAATTTAGTCCACATTTAACCAAAACGAAATCCAAACGTCAAAAATCATTTCTAATTTCAAACAAAATTTCTGTTTTGGGTAGCCTCGTGAAGAATAAAATTTTGGTTCACTTTTTGGACGTAAACTCTACTAGATTTTTGTCCCAAATAGAGCTATACACACCCCTTAACTAAACACAAGTCAAATTGGGTTCATGTTAACGTGAAAATCATTTAACATGTCTCTTGCAAAGCTGGAAAAATTTCCAAGTGCATTTGGTACAAGAAGTCCATTTTCTCTTCAATTTGTCCAAAACTTTCAACTACCCAAAAGCTATATTTTCCCCCAAACAATACTACACATATTGGTAAACATGTATACAGCCCAAATAGTTCACAAATTTGTCGAAATCAATCCCCAAAAATTTGACCAAAATCTGGAAATTTCCAGAATTTTTCGGACAGCTCAAGGGCATTTTTCCCTTTGATTTTTCAATGAAATTTCCCATTGCACCAAAGCTGCATTTTCACCAAAGCTGCTTTACACATATAGGTGAACATATACACAATTTAAATAGCTCAATAACTTCACAAAATCCAACTCAAAATTTCGGGTAAAAATGGAAGAAAAACAGGCCTGCTGGTTCGGTTTAGCAGAGCAGAATTTTCTCCTCTTTTTGCTCAACCATCTTCAACTTATAACTCATATTTTAAATCCATAACAATCACAACTAATTAGTCTAACCTCCCAACAAGCAATCCAGTTCATTACCTAAGCAAAAATTGCAAAACAATAACCGGTAACAAAGCTGGAAAATTGATCCCTCATCCGGCCAGCACCCCATTTTCATTCTTAAAATTTCCCAAACATTTACCCACCACAAAACACACATATAAACATATAAAACACCTCTAGTTTCATCAATCATTAGCTTAGAGGATCAGCAACCCAACATGTTTCACCAAGACAAGCTAAAACTTCAAGAACCAAAAGCTGCAACAAATCTGAAATTTTGGCTAAGGGGGTGAAGCGGAAGTTTTAGGATTACCTTTGGTGGTTGTTTACTAGCTAAATGAAGTGCCTAGTTCCCCAAGTTTGCTCCTAGAATCACTGAGGTCAGTCGGCACCCCTTGCACTCTGTTTTTCTCTCGGTCTGACCACCCACAGCAGCAAACGTTAAGGTGAAGAGAAGCTTGAGTCTGGGGTTTTTGAGTCAGCTTGGAAGGTTCTGTGGTTGGAGGAAAGAAAAATGGCAGCTGGTTTCTCCTTCTCCCCTGGTCCGACGCAACGCCGACAGTAGCAGCAGCGATCTTCCTCCTCCTTGCTTGGTCGAGACAGCAGCCAAGAATGGAGGTGGAAGCTGGAAATGGAAGCTTGAAGATTGGGGTGTGAATGGCTGAGGATGGAAGGCTGTTAGAAGCTTGGAATGGCAGCGGTCTCTGCTTCTTCTTGCACCAGAGGAACGAGCTTGAAGAGAAGAGAAACGGCTGGTAGTTGGTGATAAGATGGGTTGAAAATGAAGGTAAGCTAGAGGTATAGGTTTGAAGACTTTTTGGGCATGCCATTAATGGTGACAATTTTGAATTTGAATCGCGTTTAAGCGCGAAAATTTTATCTACTGGTAGAAATTCCCCATTTAACACATCCTCAACTTAGTTGTACATTTTTATAACCTCTACATATCCTACATTTCAACTTAGGGCTACATTGCGCGTCAGTGCGCAAAAATTTACCCTAATGCTTAGTCGAACGCGAACCGTCAAATAAATTTTTAAAAATTCATGTAAATTAAAATATAACATTTATATAAGTGAAAACATCATTAATAATATAAATACACATTTTTAAATATAAATTCATATTATTTAATAATTCTCAAAGCTTAAATAATATTTATTTTAATTTTCAGAAATTAATGAAATTTTGAGACCTTCACAAAAGCATCCATTTATTTCTCAAGTTATGGGAACTAATTCCAATAAGCAACTAATGGAGCAAGTTGCGCAATCTCACTGTGATCCCTCAACTTTTACTATGTAAATTAACACATCCAACCGACCATAGAGAGAACGCCACATCGCAATCCGATTTGATGATTATATTGTTGGTAGATATGATGATTTATTTAATGAATATATTATGAATTTTGCTCTTTTTGCAGATTATAATCCTATCTCATTTGAGAAAGCTATCAAAGATGATCATTTAATTCGTGCAATGGATGAAGAAATTCATGCCATTGAGAAAAATAATACATAGGAGTTGACCATTATCCCATCTGAAAAGAAGTTAATTAGAGTGAAATGGTTATATAAAACCAAAAATAAGCCAAAAGGAGAGGTGGATCGCTTCAAAGCGAGATTGATTGTTAAAGACTATAAGCAAAAGGTAGGTATTAATTATTTTAAAATTTTTGTTCCAATTGCCAGACTTGATACTGTTCATATGATTATCTCACTTGTTGCAAATAATTGTTGAAAAATTTATCAAATGAATATGAAATCTGCTTTTTTAAATGATTTTTTTGAAGAAAAGTTATATATTGAGCAGCCTATAAGTTATGTTAGAATGGATCAAGAAAACAAAGTTTATAAATTGAAAAAGACATTATATGGGTTGAAACAAACTCCTAGAATTGGTATACTCGCATTGATGCTTATTTTGTTGAGCATGGTATGTCTATATGAATATACTTTGTGCATCAAATTCAACTCTAGAGGAAATGTTTTTTTTTTGTGTGTGCTTGTATGTGGATGACTTGATATTTATAGGTAACAATCTCAAACTAATTTATGAATTCAGAGAAGTCATGATTAGTCAATTTGAGATGATAGATTTGGGTTTAATGTCTTATTTTCTTGGTATTGAGGTTCGTCAGTTGGATGGTGAAATTTTTATTTCACAAAGGAAGTATGCAGGTGATATTTTGAAAAAATTTGAAATGAATATAGTTAAACCAATGATGACCCGAGTTGAAGAGAAGTTGAAATTGACTAAAGATGGCACTGGTGATTTTGTTGATACTACTTATTTCAAGAGATTGGTGAAAAATCTCAAGAATTTAATTTCTACAAGGCCTTACATTACGGATGGACTTGATTTGAGCAGTAGATTTATGGAATCTCTACCCCAATCCTACTTGCTAGCTGTTAAGAGGATTTTGAGATATGTTCAAGATACGCAGTCTGACGATATATTTTATTCATCTCCACAAGGTACTAGTCTTGTTGGATACACTAATAGTGATAGGACTGGTAATACAATACAAAGGAGAAACACTTCTATTTCTGCATTTTATCTGGGATCTGATGTATTTTCTTGTTATTAAATTAATAGGTGGTTGCTTTATCTACAGCAGAAGTAGACTACATGACTGCTGGGAGTTGAAACAAACTCCTAAAATTTGGTATACCCGCATTAATACTTATTTTGTTGAGCATGGTATGTCTATATGAATATACTTTGTACATCAAATTTAACTCTAGAGGAAATGTTTTTTTTGTGTGCTTGTATGTGGATGACTTGATATTTATAGGTAACAATCTCAAACTAATTTTAAATTTAGAGAAGTCATGATTAGTCAATTTGAGATGATAGATTTGGGTTTAATGTCTTATTTTCTTGGTATTGAGGTTGTGACGCCCCCACTTCTCCCTAAGGCGAACCAGAGGGTATCTGCGGAACGTCTGCCCAACTCTCGCCAGGACTCAAGCAGTATCCATTCGAGCTTAAAGCAAAATCATTCAATAACACTAGATAAGTAAGAAAGTGCGGAAAACTTCCAAACTTAACAATATACATAACACTTATCCAATCATTACATTAAATTCCCAAAAAGTACATCAATACCCAAAATATACTACAATCGGGTACATCAAATATTCAAACCATATAGTAGGTTTCCGAAGTACAACCAGTAAGAGGTCTAACCCAAAATATATTAAAATCCTAAGCCAGAAGTATATCAAAAGAGTTCCTCCAAGTACCCTTCCATGCCAAATCCTGTTAAGGAAAACAAATCTATAGGGTGAGCAAAACGCTCGTGAGGCCAAGAACACACATGCAATCACATAGTCCAAACAACAAGCCTAATTAACAGGTCAAATAATAAAGTACAAGTAATTGCCAAATCAAATGAAATGTAAACAGAAACAATTCAAGGATATGGTAGCTCTCAGGAGCTAAGTTCCACTTGCATTGCCAGGGTTATTCGTATACCTTCCCGCGATGACTCTCCGTCAACTGGGTTGGTATTTCCAATCCGTAGTTCTCCACTTACTTCCCTCCATCCATCATTTCACCCCCTCGGATCCGTAACCAACAGGCATGTAAAGGCGATACTATACCAGTATGCCTAGCAAGATCTCAAAAGATCAAGTTTCAGGTCCCAAGATTTACCAAGTTCTCCCGACCAAGACCTCACGATTGGCTGCGAGATTATGAGGTATAACCGTTGGGTTTTGGGCGTCCCCACAAGTCAGGTTTTCAGAAACAAATCAAGTTTTAGTCGATGAGATTTCTCTGCACTTGACTTTAGGTCATGTACATGTAAAATCCATCAATTTCATGTAATTCATGTAGCAGGTCATGTATTGATCCAGGTAAAGGAGATAAAGTGCGGCAAAGTACACACTTTTCCCAACAAGTACAGTTCAAGTAACAATAGGTTCAAGTAGAGTTCATGTAGGCAACAAATCTCAAGCGAAGTGCAAGTAAACATGCACTTGGCACTCACCAAAACAAGTAATGAGGAAGAAATGTCCCTCGGAGCTTTAGGCGTTCACTGTAGGATCCTCTTGAAGGTTCTCGTGTGCGCCTGAGCAAATAATAATGGACTATCATTCACAAACCCCTACTATTAAAGAAGATCGTACCATAGTACAATCTTAGAAAGTCTAGTGAAACGAGCCTAAATTATCCTAAATCGAGGCTCTCTAGTGGGGTTTCAAAGTACAAGAGAAATTTAGTTTCATCTTGGAAATCGAGTGTAAATCATTCAGGTAATATCGAAGGAATAAGGAGTACTTGAAAACTCCATTTCCTTGGAATTTGAAAATTTTCAGTTTTGATATGATACATTAGGAAAATCGTATCTCACGTTTTACAAGTCAAAAATTGGAAAAATTGGTACCGTTGGAAACCTCTTCCAAGGTACTAAAAGTTTCTAGAATACACTTTTCTAAGATTCCAAATGGAAAACATTCAAAAACAAGCTCAAAGTCTCTGTTTTGGTTCCTAAGGCAGATTTAGGTTGGTTTTTGGCCAACTTTGAAAATTCGGCAAAATTCACTTGATTGGAACTAGCTTTTGAAATTTGGAAATCTTTTAGAGTCGCAATCCAAATTTACAGCAAAACAAGCGGAATGAGAAACGGAGTTTTGAGTACTAAGATATGGCAACTCGAAATTACCAAAATTTCCTTGTGAAACATAGGTTTTTCAAACTCAAGTCATGAACTTTGGTAATTTATTTGAGCCATGAAACGGCCTCGGAATAACACCATAATTAGCAGTATAATACTACCATATAAAGTTTGTCTCTCTACCAAATTTCATGGAGAAATAACTTCGGAATGGTGGTCAACCAAACAACCAAAGTTTCGAAAATCCTAAGGCAAAACTGTCTTGAGCTTTTTGTTTTCCATTCCAACCATTTGGCCAAGGAAAAATCCTTCAAAACGTGATTCATTTGTATAGGAAAAGCCTAAGGAACATTCATGGTACATTTGGTAGGTTTTTTAACTCCAAAAACTCAATTGGCAAGTCCATACCAAGTCTAACATTAATTCTGCCCAAGATTAAGGGTTTTCAAAGACAGAGCAGGTTTCGTATTTTGATCACAAATCACTCAATTCAACTCGGAATTGAGCATGGTTAGTGGCGTTGGAAAATAAATTCATAAAGCTATGATTTCACAGAAGAAATCGTTTTGAAATTCAGCACATAACTAGCTCAAATTCGAGCCTCAAGTTGTAACTTCTGAACTTCATTCCAGGAAAACAGAGAAACAGGACAGTCATATTTAAACGGTTGGTACGGGGGTACTCGGGTGGAATTAGGGGTTGAATTTTATACCAAATGAAATCTGGGA